CTGCCAAGTGCTCTTAGCTGTCATGCTCAATTATGGTCTTCTTTTCACTAGGACCTCCTTTAGTGAGCATCATCGTATATCACTACGCTCGACTCTAAATAAGAGCTACGATTTCCAGTATTGATTTTCTTACTGTTGTGACTTTGATGGGGCCAGAAATAAAGACACAAAGAGAAGAATTGAGTTAGCAAATATATTAACAGAAAAACAGTAATACAATCATATTACAAACGAGCAAGAATGTTAGGCCGAGTGTCAAAACTGATTGCTGGAAGAAAACGATATTTATTCTGTACAATACAGAAATGTGGCACAAGGCCAAAAAAGGGGATTGGGGAAAGGACGTTAATCTTCTATCTTAACTATAACTTAGCTAGCCGCAAGCATTGACCAATCGTACGAAACAATATTCCTTACACCAAAACAACACATTCTTACGTGCCTTTCTTACTACAATCACCATAATACCTCTTTGTCTCTATGAAAATACTAACTAGTCTCCATATTTACAATTCGTTGTCTGTGTGGGGAGAGGGGAATAAAACAACAATTCTAAAAGAGTGATGTTCTAAGCTTAGATGTGGCACGAGGCCGAAAGTATAGGGGCACCCAGTGAGGATCGAACTCACTATTCAGTCATAATTGTTCTAGCGAGACACACTACATTACACCGCCTCGAGGTGCCCTTATTTTCCAAGCATAGCTTAGATGTGGCACAAGGCCGAAAGTATGGGGTCTACCCAGTGAGGACCGAACTCACTTTTCAGTTGTAACTGATCTAGCGAGACAAGCTTGCTAACCATTACACCACGCCGAGGTACCCTACTGCTGGAAGAAAACTACCTCTGACAAAAGCAGTACCTGCTTTTATTTGTAACTTGGAAGGACCCATCCGTGTAGGGGTAATTTACGCATAACATTTACCAAAAAAGCTCTCCCCATTTGGAAATCTGGATTTTTCCTTAGTTACCGTACTAAACTGAAGTTATAAAATGTTAATGTTCACTGTGTGGCCTACTGCTGTGATTTTTTTCCAAGTTAAGCTTTGTAATTAAATTTCGGGTTTGCCAAGTGGTCGAGGTAGTTACGTATTGATCCTCTCTAAAAGGGACCAGGATTCGAACCCAGGTAAAAACCAAGTTTTCGACTGAGTTTTCTTCATATTGAATATCATGCAGTACGACATTTGTACATCCATATATTGATTTTTGTTAGGTTGATGAACTTGTTTCTATGTTTTATATGCCGGGACCATCCAGGATGTGGGCGAGCATAGCTCTCCACGATTTCTGACATTTTATTGGTCGAAGCAACTTTTGACGCTTTACCATCAAGGCTGTCAAACAGGAAAGGTAATTAGGAAAAACAAGACAGAAAGAAACCCAAGATTCAAAAAGAAAAAAAGAAAAAAAAAGGGGAAAAACATTTAAAAGAAAGAAAAACAAACATATAAAAGAAAGAAAGAAAAAACAAACATTTAAAGAAAGAAAGAAAGAAAGAACGATAGAAAGAAAGAAAAAACATTTAAAAGAAAGAAAAAAGAAAGAAAGAACAAACATTCAAAAGAAAGAAAGAAAGAAAGACAGAAAGAAAAAACAAACATTCAAAGGAAAGAAGGAAAAATCAAACATTTAAAAGAGAGAAAGAAAGATAGAAAAAAACATTTAAAAGAAAGAAAGAAAGAAAGAACAAACAAACATTTAAAAGAAAGAAAGAAAGAAAGAAACATTTAAAAAGAAAGAAAGAAAAGAAAAAAAAAGAAGGAACAAACATTCAAAAAGAAAGAAAGATAGAAAAAAAAGAAAGAAAAGAAATAACATTTGAAAGAAAGACAGAAAAAAAAAAACAAACATTTAAAGGAAAGAAAGAAAAAAAATCAAACATTTAAAAGAGAGAAAGAAAGAAAAAACAAACATTTAAAGAAAGAAAGAAAGAAAGAACGATAGAAAGAAAGAAAAAACATTTAAAAGAAAGAAAAAAGAAAGAAAGAACAAACATTCAAAAGAAAGAAAGAAAGAAAGACAGAAAGAAAAAAAAACAAACATTCAAAGGAAAGAAGGAAAAATCAAACATTTAAAAAGAGAGAAAAAAGATAGAAAAAAAAACATTTAAAAGAAAGAAAGAAAGAAAGAACAAACAAACATTTAAAAGAAAGAAAGAAAGAAAGAAACATTTAAAAGAAAGAAAGAAAGAAAAAGAAAGAAGGAACAAACATTCAAAAGAAAGAAAGATAGAAAGAAAGAAAGAAAGAAATAACATTTGAAAGAAAGACAGAAAGAAAAAACAAACATTTAAAGGAAAGAAAGAAAAATCAAACATTTAAAAGAGAGAAAGAAAGAAAAAACAAACATTTAAAGAAAGAAAGAAAGAAAGAAAGAACGATAGAAAGAAAGAAAAAACATTTAAAAGAAAGAAAAAAGAAAGAAAGAACAAACATTCAAAAGAAAGAAAGAAAGAAAGACAGAAAGAAAAAACAAACATTCAAAGGAAAGAAGGAAAAATCAAACATTTAAAAGAGAGAAAGAAAGATAGAAAAAAACATTTAAAAGAAAGAAAGAAAGAACAAACAAACATTTAAAAGAAAGAAAGAAAGAAAGAAAGAAAGAAACATTTAAAAGAAAGAAAGAAAGAAAAAGAAAGAAGGAACAAACATTCAAAAGAAAGAAAGATAGAAAAAAAAGAAAGAAAGAAATAACATTTGAAAGAAAGACAAAAAAAAAAAACAAACATTTAAAGGAAAGAAAGAAAAAAATCAAACATTTAAAAGAGAGAAAGAAAGAAAAAAACAAACATTTAAAGAAAGAAAGAAAGAAAGAACGATAGAAAGAAAAAAAAAAACATTTAAAAAGAAAAAAAAAAGAAAAAAAAGAACAAACATTCAAAAGAAAGAAAGAAAGAAAGACAGAAAAAAAAAAACAAACATTCAAAGGAAAGAAGGAAAAAATCAAACATTTAAAAGAGAGAAAGAAAGATAGAAAAAAAAACATTTAAAAGAAAGAAAGAAAGAACAAAAACAAACATTTAAAAGAAAAAAAAAAAAGAAACATTTAAAAGAAAAAAGAAAGAAAGAAAAAGAAAGAAGGAACAAACATTCAAAAGAAAGAAAGATAGAAAGAAAGAAAGAAAGAAATAACATTTGAAAGAAAGACAGAAAGAAAAAACAAACATTTAAAGGAAAGAAAGAAAAATCAAACATTTAAAAGAGAGAAAGAAAGAAAAAATAAACAAACATTAAAAAAAGAAAGAAAAAGGAAACATATAAAAGAAAGAAAAAGAAAGAAAGAAAGAACAAACAAACATTCAAAAGAAAAAAAGAAAGACAGAAAGAAAAAAACAAACATTCAAAGGAAAGAAAGAAAAAGCAAACATTTAAAAGAGAGAAAGAAAGAAAAATAAAGAAACATTTAAAAGAAAGAAAGAAATAAAGAAAGAACAAATATTTAAAAGAAAGTAAGGAAAAACAAAAAATTAAAAGGATAGAAAGAAAAAGAAACATTTAAAAGAAAGAAAGAAAAGCGTTTAAAAGAAAGAATTTGAATGAAAGACTCAATAAAGAGTAGAAGGAAAGCAACACAAAATAGATAGAAAGAGCAAAAGAACATTTATTGAAAAAAAGACTTCTTATTAAAAGAAAGAAAGAACATTTAAAAGAAAGGATGAAAGAAAATAGAAAGTATTATCATTTCAAAGAAATGAAGAAACAAACAAAAGCATTTAAAAAACATTACATGAAAGAATCACCAAAGAAAGAGAAGAAAGAAGAAAAAAAGAAAACAGAAAGAAAACCACATTACAGATAAAGAAGAGGAAAAGAAATAAGAAAGAACGCAAGAAAGAAAACAGTATTTAAAAGAAAAAAAGAAGGAAGAAAGAAAGAAACAAGAAAGAAAACTAGATTAAAGATAAAGAAGAGGAAAAGAATTAAGAACGCAAGAAAGAAAGAAGTATTTAAATGAAAGGAAGAAGAAATAAAGAAAAAAGAAAACTACATTGAAGATGAAGAAGAGGAAAACAAATAAGAAAGGACGAAAGAAAGAAGTGGCAATGATACAAAGCAAGAAAGTGTAAAAATTTAAAAGAAAAGCAAAGATGAAATGAATGAATCACTAAAGAAAGAGAAAATAAGACGTAAGAAAGGCTACCCAGTGAAAGAAAGAAAGAAAAAAAAAAGAAAGAAAATAAGACGTAAGAAAGGCTACCCAGTGAAAAAAAGAAAGAAAGAAAGAAAGAAAAAATAGATCGTAAAGAAAGGCTACCAGTGAAAGAAAGAAAGAAAGAAAGAAAAAAGAAAGAGAAGATAGATCGTAAGAAAGGCTACCAAATGAAAGAAAAAGAAAGAAAGAAAAAAGAAAAGAAAAGAAAGAAAGAAAGAAAATAGATCGTAAGAAAGGCTACCAGTGAAAGAAAGAAAGAAAAAAAGAAAGAAAAGAAAAAAGAAAGAAAAGAAAGAGAAAAATAGATTGTAAGAAAAGGCTACCCAGTGAAAGAAAGAAAGAAAAGAAAGAAAGAAAGAAAAAATAGATCGTAAGAAAGGCTACCCAGTGAAAAAAGAAAGAAAGAAAAGAAAAAAAGAAGGAAAGAGAAAATAGATCGTAAGAAAAGGCTACCCAGTGAAAGAAAGAAAGAAAGAAAGAAAGAAAGAAAGAAAATAGATCGTAAGAAAGGCTACCAGTGAAAGAAAGAAAGAAAGAAAAGAAAGAAAGAGAAAATAGATCGTAAGAAAGGCTACCCAGTGAAAGAAAGAAAGAAAAAGAAAAGAAAGAAGGAGAAAATAGATCGTAAGAAAAGGCTACCCAGTGAAAGAAAAAAAAGAAAGAAAGAAAAAGAAAGAAAGAAAAATAGATCGTAAGAAAGGCTACCCAGTGAAAAAAAAAAAAGAAAAAGAAAGAAAAAGAAGGAAAGAAAATAGATCGTAAGAAAGGCTACCCAGTGAAAGAAAGAAAGAAAGAAAGAAAGAAAGAAAGAAAGAAAGAAAAAATAGATCGTAAGAAAGGCTACCCAGTGAAAGAAAAAAGAAAGAGAAAGAAAGAAAATAGAAAATAGATCGTAAGAAAAGGCTACCCAGTGAAAGAAAGAAAAAAAAGAAAGAAGAAAAGAAGGAAAGAGAAAATAGATCGTAAGAAAGGCTACCCAGTGAAAAGAAAGAAAGAAAGAAAGAAAAGGAAAGAAAAATAGATCGTAAGAAAGGCTACCCAGTGAAAAGAAAAGAAAGAAAAGAAGAAAGAAAGAAAGAAAAAATAGATCGTAAGAAAAAAGGCTACCCAGTGAAAGAAAAGGCTAAGAAAAGAAAGAAAGAAAAAAGAAAATAGATCGTAAGAAAGGCTACCCAGTGAAAGAAAGAAAGAAAGAAAAAAAGAAAGAAAAATAGATCGTAAGAAAGGCTACCCAGTGAAAGAAAGAAAGAAAGAAAGAAAAGAAAAGAAAATAGATCGTGAAAGGCTACCCAGTGAAAGAAAAAAAGAAAGAAAAAAGAAGGAAAGAAAAATAGATCGTAAGAAAGGCTACCCAGTGAAAGAAAGAAAGAAAGAAAGAAAAAAAGAAAGAAAAAATAGATCAAAGAAAGGCTACCCAGTGAAAGAAAAAAAGAAAGAAAGAAAGAAAGAAAGAAAGAAAGAAAAGAAAGAAAAAATAGATCGTAAGAAAGGCTACCCAGTGAAAGAAAGAAAGAAAGAAAGAAAGAGAAAATAGATCGTAAGAAAGGCTACCCAGTGAAAGAAAGAAAGAAAGAAAGAAAGAAAGAAAATAGATCGTAAGAAAGGCTACCCAGTGAAAGAAAGAAAAAAGAAAGAAAGAAAGAAAAATAGATCGTAAGAAAGGCTACCCAGTGAAAGAAAGAAAAAAGAAAGAAAGAAAGAAAGAAAATAGATCGTAAGAAAAGGCTACCCAGTGAAAGAAAGAAAGAAAGAAAGAAAGGAAAGAAAATAGATCGTAAGAAAGGCTACCCAGTGAAAAAAGAAAGAAAGAAAAGAAAGAAAGAAAGAAAATAGATCGTAAGAAAGGCTACCCAGTGAAAAGAAAGAAAGAAAGAAAAGAAAGAAGAAAATAGATCGTAAGAAAGGCTACCCAGTGAAAGAAAAGAAAGAAAAAAAGAAAGAAAGAAAGAAAGAAAAATAGATCGTAAGAAAGGCTACCCAGTGAAAGAAAAGAAAGAAAGAAGAAAGAAAGAAAGAAAAAAATAGATCGTAAGAAAGGCTACCCAGTGAAAAAAGAAAGAAAAGAAAAGAAAGAAAAGAAAGAGAAAATAGATCGTAAGAAAGGCTACCAGTGAAAGAAAAAAGAAAGAAAGAAAGAAAGAAAAGAAAGAAAGAGAAAATAGATCGTAAGAAAGGCTGCCCAGTGAAAGAAAGAAAGAAAAGAAAGAAAAGAAAAGAAAGAAAGAAAATAGATCGTAAGAAAGGCTACCCAGTGAAAGAAAAGAAAGAAAAGAAAGAAAAGAAAAAGAAAGAAGGAAAAGAAAATAGATCGTAAGAAAGGCTACCCAGTGAAAGAAAGAAAGAAAGAAAATAGAAAGAAAGGCCACCCAGTGAAAGAAAAAAAAGAAAGAAAAAAAGAAAATAGATCGTAAGAAAAGGCTACCCAGTGAAAGAAAAGAAAGAAAGAAAGAAAGAAAAGAAAAACAGATTGTAAAGAAAGGCTAAAAGAAAAAAAGAAAGAAAGAAAGAAAGGAAGAGAAAAATAGATCCCAAGAAAGGCTAAGAAAAGAAAGAAAGAAAGAAAGAAAGAAAGAGAAAATAGATCGTAAGAAAAGCTACCCAGTGAAAGAAAGAAAGAAAAAGAAAGAAAGAAAAATAGATCGTAAGTAGTACACGAAAATAGATCGTAAGAAAGGCTACCCAGTGAAAAGAAAAGAAAGAAAGAAAGAAAGAAAGAGAAATAGATCGTAAGAAAAGGCTACCCAGTGAAAAAAGAAAGAAAGAAAGAAAGAGAAAAATAGATCGAAGAAAGGCTACCCAGTGAAAAGAAAGAAAGAAAGAAAGAAAGAAAGAAAGAAAGAGAAAATAGATCGTAAGAAAGGCTACCCAAAAGAAAAGAAAAAGAAAGAAAGAGAAAATAGATCGTAAGAAAGGAAAGAAAATAGATAAAAGAAAGAGAAAATAGATCCACCCAGTGAAAAAGAAAGAAAGAAAGAAAGAAAGAAAGAAAGAAAGAAAAATAGATCGTAAGAAAGGCTACCCAGTGAAAGAAAAAAAAAGAAAAGAAAGAAAAAGAAAGAGAGAAAATAGATCGTAAAAAGGCTACCCAGTGAAAGAAAGAAAGAAAAGAAAGAAAAAGAAAGAAAGAGAAAATAGATCATAAGAAAGGCTACCCAGTGAAAGAAAGAAAGAAAGAAAGAAAAGAAAGAGAAAATAGATCGTAAGAAAGGCTACCCAGTGAAAGAAAGAAAGAAAGAAAGAAAAAAGAAAGAGAAAATAGATCGTAAGAAAGGCTACCCAAAGAAAGAAAGAAAAGAAAGAAAGAAAGAAAGAAAGAGAAAATAGATCGTAAGAAAGGCTACCCAGT